AACTCCTGGGTACATGTTTATTGACAGGTAAACTCCTGGGTACATGTTTACTGTCAGGTAAACTCCTGGGTACACGTTTATTGACAGGTAAACTCCTGGGTACATGTTTATTGCCAGGTAAACTCTTGGGTACATGTTTATTGCCAGGTAAACTCCTGGGTACATGTTTACTGCCAGGTAAATTCATGTATACAAGTTTACTGTCAGGTAAACTCCTGAGTATATGTTTATTTCCAGGTAAACTCCTGTATACAAGTTTACTGTCAGGTAAACTCCTGAGTATATGTTTATTTCCAGGTAAACTCTTGTATACAAGTTGACTGCCAGGTAAACTCTTGGGTACATGTTTACTGCCAGGTAAACTCTTGGGTACATGTTTACTGCCAGGTAAACTCCTGGTACCTGTTTACCGCCAGGTAAATAGGTCACAGCCAACGCGCCCAACCAGTTCTGTTCCCCCGTGATATACCTACAAGAAAGACTGCTATCAGAACATACTAATATATATATAAATATATTCTCATGTGAGTGTCCAGTGAGTTGTGACCGAGCTCCTTCACCCTCTTCTCCTTGGAAGATCTCTAGTGCCAGGGACCTGCTTGCTCATTGTACTGTTGATCTGATGAAGGAAATCGCCAGATTTGGCCCAGTTAGATACAAGATATAGTATGGGAGGCCGACTACTCCACAACACAACCAACGATCACAGCTAAGCACAATAAACATACGGATACAGTGACACATAACACAGGGACGCAGACAACGCTCAGATCTAAGCGCAACACAAACAAATGATATGGTGACACGACTCCACAAGACAAACAATACTCATCAACAAAGAGCATCCAAGCATGAGAGAAGTCGTTAATCACCCGTCCACCTGACAGGTGCGCCTGAACAACAATAATGTTTACAGGACGTGGAGTTTACCGGGCCGGGGGATTTCTGGAACAGTTCTGTTAATAAACATTGTTCATCGCACCTGTGGTCCCTCCTCGCTCGCTCCGCCTCCAGCCTTTCTTCTGACTTTCTCATTTTGTTTTTCAAAATATTTCTCTGTTCTTTTATTCTTAATGTTTGTAATGTTACAGCTTTCATAACAAAAGTTGTAATCTTTCCAAATTATTAGTTTCCCGTGGACACAAGCTGCGAAGTTTGTTTGTTTCCCGACGTCACACGATAAGAAGTTTCTTTGTTTTCAGAGCTCACAAGCTGGAAAGTTTTTCGTTTTACGAGTCCACAAGCCAACAAGTTTTCTTGTTTACCGACACAACGAATGTGTCTCTTGAACTTTTTCAAAATTTAAAAAGATTTTAAACATAAAATTTACACCTAGAATTTCAGAGAAGCAATTTAAAATTTTCCTCAATTTTTTCAACTGGTTATGAAAGGAACGTTTAGCTTAGTGTTGTCTGACATTACCACAGTGTTTCCTCTGTCCTCAACACACAGGGTAACACCTAACGTATTTCAGGTTTTATTTGAAGCAATACCTTAGTGATTGAGATTCTGTACGAGATAGTACATAAACTGGACACTTTAGTACTGTATTTATTAGAAAAAAGCAGCCTTAGGTTGATGTGGTAGTGCCGAGGTCGTCTCTGTAATAGTTTGTTTACACAGATACAGAGGATGATAGTAGGAGGCTACAAGATGACCTAGACAGACTGAGTGAATGGTCCAACAAATGGCTGTTAAAGTTCAACCCGAGTAAATGCAAAGTAATGAAACTAGGCGGTGGAAACAGGAGGCCAGACACAGGATACAGAATAGGAGATGAAGTACTTAATGAAACAGACAGAGAGAAAGATCTAGGAGTTGATATCACACCAAACCTGTCTCCTGAAGCCCACATAAAAATAATAAACTCTGCGACATATGCGAGGCTGGCTAACATCAGAACAGCCTTCAGGAACCTGTATAAGGAATCATTCAGAATCTTGTATACCACATATATAAGACCAGTCCTGGAGTATGCAGCCCCACCATGGAGCCCGTACCTTGTCAAGCACAAGACGAAGCTGGAAAAGTCCAAAGGTATGCCACTAGGCTAGTCCCAGAACTAAGAGGTATGAGTTACGAGGAAAGGCTGCGAAAAATGCACTTTACGACACTGGAAGACAGAGGGGGAGTAAGTAGTAAGTAGGAGTAGGAGTAAGGGGAGACATGATCACTACATACAAAATCCTCAAGGGAATCGACCGGGTAGACAGGATAAACTATTCAACACTGGTGGAACACGAACAAGGGGACACAGGTGGAAACTGAGTACCCACATGAGCCACAGAGACGTTAGAAAGAACTTTTTGGTGTCGGAGAAGTTAACAGATGGAATGCATTAGGCTGTGATGTGGTGGAGGCTGACTCCATACACAGTTTCATATGTAGATATAACAGAGCCCAGTAGGCTCAGGAATCTGTACACCAGTTGATTAAAGTTGAGAGGAGGGACCAAAGAGCAAAAGCTTAACCCCCGCAAGCACGAATAGGTGAGTACAAATAGGCGAGAACAGATGGGGACAGGAGAAGACGACTGGTGAGTTGCTAGCAGACTGAGAGCTTGTCCTCGCACAGGTCGTCCGGAACCTCACCCCCGCTTGCGTTCCCTGGAACACGACCCGTCAGGTGGTTTGTTACCAGGTCGTCATAATACTGCTGGCTGCTCAAGGCCAGATCAAGTCGCTCACTAGGCGCGGGGCGAGCCTGCTCCACTCGACCACACGGACCTAATAGTCTCGACCACACGGACCTTACAGTCTCGACCACACGGACCTTACAGTCTCGACCACACGGACCTTACAGTCTCGACCACACGGACCTTACAGTCTCGACCACACGGACCTTACAGTCTCGACCACACGGACCTTACAGTCTCGACCACACGGACCTTACAGTCTCGACCACACGGACCTTACAGTCTCGACCACACGGACCTTATAGTCTCGACCACACGGACCTTACAGTCTCGACCACACGGACCTTACAGTCTCGACCACACGGACCTTACAGTCTCGACCACACGGACATTGACGCTCATCAGTGTTATGAATATAAAAATATTTATTTATTTTGAACACAAATAAGTTTTCTGCTCAATATATATCTATAAGAATGTATGTCTATTGGTTTGTCTGTCTGTCTGTCTATGGCTGAAAGGTAGACACTTGGGGATAGTTTCGACCAATTCTGCATGATGACTCATGTTAGGCAGGGGATCAACATGGACGAGTTGGGGTTGAGGTCCCGCGGCAACCTCCACGAAATCCGTGGAAGATAGTTATATGTCTATATCTATCTATCTATCTATCTATCTATCTATATATATATATATATATATATATATATATATATATATAAATATATATATATATATATATATATATATATATATATATATATATATATATATATATATATATATGTATATATATATATATATATATATATATATATATATATATATATACATATGTATATATACATACATACATATATATTTATATATATTCATAAATACAGACATATTTCTCAGGAATGTTAACAGTCAAACTGTGTTACAGAACACACCATATTGCGGGAGCTTCTGCGGTGCCCCAGTCAACCCGTATTGACCCGGGCACCGCCGGTTGTGTCTTCCACTAAAAATATATAAATCTGAGGTTGAGGCAGCACCCCAGGGAGGGGCCGGGGGTATATAAGCTGAGGTTGAGGCAGCACCCCAGGGAGGGGCGGTGGGTATATAAGCTGAGGATGAGGCAACACCCCAGGGAGGGGCCGGGGGTATATAAGCTGAGGTTGAGGCAACACCCCAGGGTGGGGCCGGGGGTATATAAGCTGAGGATGAGGCAACACCCCAGGGAGGGGCCGGGGGTATATAAGCTGAGGTTGAGGCAGCACCCCAGGGAGGGGCCGGGGGTATATAAGCTGAGGATGAGGCAACACCCCAGGGTGGGGCCGGGGGTATATAAGCTGAGCATGAGGCAGCACCCCAGGGTGGGGCCGGGGGTATATAAGCTGAGGATGAGGCAACACCCCAGGGTGGGGCCGGGGGTATATAAGCTGAGGTTGAGGCAGCACCCCAGGGTGGGGCCGGGGGTATATAAGCTGAGGTTGAGGCAGCTCCCCAGGGAGTGGCCATGGGGTATATAAGCTGAGGTTGAGGCAACACCCCAGGGTGGGGCCGGGGGTATATAAGCTGAGGTTGAGGCAGCACCCCAGGGTGGGGCCGGGGGTATATAAGCTGAGGTTGAGGCAGCACCCCAGGGTGGGGCCGGGGGTATATAAGCTGAGGTTGAGGCAGCTCCCCAGGGAGTGGCCATGGGGTATATAAGCTGAGGTTGAGGCAGCACCCCAGGGAGGGGCCAGGGGTATATAAGCTGAGGTTGAGGCAGCACCCCAGGGATGGGCCGGGGGCATATAAGCTGAGGTTGAGGCAGCACCCCAGGGGAGGGGCCGGGGGTATATAAGGTGAGGTTGAGGCAGCACCCCAGGGTGGGGCCGGGGGTATATAAGCTGAGGTTGAGGCAGCTCCCCAGGGAGTGGCCATGGGGTATATAAGCTGAGGTTGAGGCAGCACCCCAGGGGAGGGGCCGAGGGTATATAAGCTGAGGTTGAGGCAGCACCCCGGGAAGGGGCCGGGGGTATATAAGCTGAGGTTGAGGCAGCACCCCAGGGAGGGGCCGGGGGTATATAAGCTGAGGTTGAGGCAGCACCCCGGGAAGGGGCCGGGGGGTATATAAGCTGAGGTTGAGGCAGCACCCCAGGGAGGGGCCGGGGGTATATAAGCTGAGGTTGAGGCAGGACCCCAGGGAAGGGGCCGGGGGTATATAAGCTGAGGTTGAGGCAGCACCCCGGGAAGGGGCCGGGGGTATATAAGCTGAGGTTGAGGCAGCACCCAGGGAGGGGCCGGGGGTATATAAGCTGAGGTTGAGGCAGCACCCCAGGGAGGGGCCGGGGGTATATAAGCTGAGGTTGAGGCAGCACCCCAGGGAGGGGCCGGGGGTATATAAGCTGAGGTTGAGGCAGCACCCCAGGGAGGGGCCGGGGGTATATAAGCTGAGGACCGTCCAGGGAGCGGCCACTTGCCCGCTCTCTACTCTACTCTACGCAGCCTCAGCTCAACTTCCCGGTGAATATTCCTTTGCTTACGAGTGTTTGAATAAGGCAGCAAGTTAAAGTCAAAATTAAAAATATTTATATGTAAATATTTTTAATCTTGTTTTGTTGCACTTGGCGTTATCAATTGAATCACACACTCATCACTTACGCAAACAGTGTGGTAGACGGTTGGAACAAGTTAGGTGAGAAGGTGGTGGAGGCCAAGACTTTCAGTAGTTTCAACGCGTTATATGACAAAGAGTGTTGGGAAGACGGGACACCACGAGCGTTGCTCTCATCCTGTAACTTCACTTAGGAAATTTCACACACACACACACATATATATATATATATAAATATATATATATATATATATATATATATATATATATATATATATATATATATATATATATATATATATATATATATTTAATGGAAGGGAGTACCACCTCTAGCTGGAAGAAGGGGGACCCATAGCCTCGGAGGAAACCACGCATAACGCATTAGAGGGAATGTTTAGATCCCCTCCAATACAGTTTCTGTGTGCTTTTCTCCTACCACCCTTTTCCTTTTTTATTTTTTATGCTTTATTATGTATTTGATGGTTACAAGATATACATGGGTTGATACAAAAATAATAATACAAAAAAGTGCTTAAAGGTTATGGATCTCTTGAAGAACACAACAATGGGAAACATTGATGAATGTCACAGACGGGTTCGATCATTGTTGCAAGTCAAACACTTCTTCGAATTCCTCTGAAGTTGGACTAGTGCCCAAGACGCAACAGGCATTTCCCCTCTGAATCGCAACACTGAGGCGCTGGAACAAGAAACTTTTTGTTCTCTGGTCTTTTGTAGCGCTGATCAATTTGTTCCCCAATTCCTTCAGGAACTTCAATGCACATTTTCCCCACGAACCGAGGGTCTCCGAGCCGATCGGAACAAAGCTGTAGCAGTGTGCCAGATCTCTATATTTAATAATTTTCTGCGATTCCCTGAAAGAAGCCTGAAAGAATTCCCTGAATTTCCTTTATATATATATATATATATATATATATATATATATATATATATATATATATATATATATATATATATATATAAATATATAAATATATATATATATATAAATATATATATATATATATGTATATATATATATATATATATATAAATATATATATATATATAAATATATATATATATATATATATATATATATATATATATATATATATATATATATATATATATATATATATATATATATATATATATATATATATATATATATATATATATATATATATATATGAATGTATGTAATTATTAATATCAAATTGAACGTGGGCTCTTGCGGGTCGTTGACGGTGGTGGGTGGGCCAGGCTACAGACCATGGCTGTACCTCCAGCACAGAGATAGTTATGGTGATTGTTCTTACAGGCATTATGAGGCGAGTGTGTGTGTTGATGGTGGCTCTGGTGGCTCTGGTGGCGGTGACCATGGCTCGCTCCCCACCCTTCCCTCCTCTCTCCTGCCTCAGGCCTAAGATAAACATTCGTGGTTGTGTCAACAACTGCGAGGCTGAGGACAAGCCCGGCTTCTTCTACTGCTGCGACAGCAAAGGTCAGTAATGTGTCTACTCACCTAGTTGTGCTTGAGGGGTATGAGCTTCGGCTCTTTAGTCCCGCCTCTAAGCTGTCAATTAACTAATATTTCAATGTGTATGTTCTCACCAGGTTGTACTCATCTAGTTGTCCGTGCTTGGGATAGGTTTTAATTTTTTAATTTTGCCCCGAGGGGCGAGTTTACTGGGCAGCGCCACTCATCCTGTGGCGCTGCCACAGGATGTTAGTTAGTTTAGTTCATTTATTATGCACCCCATACCCATCTTGTGGGTGGTAGTGGAAAGGGTTACAGAGGCACATAATGGGCTCCGGGACTGAACCCACAGTTCATTTAGCTAAGCAAGTTACAATCTTGATGACCTAGTTACAAAGTTCAATATAAGTCGTCACATCAACAATGGGTTCGAGATCGACCACAAGTACAATTTCTAAATTAAGCAACTAGTGTCACAATTTATATGTTTGTCCTGCACACCGCTCCCCATCCAAAGGGCAGCGGTGGATAGATTACAATCACTTAATTCACACCGCCATAGTGACAGTACTGGGCAGCGCCACTCATCCTGTGAGTAGACACACCGTCATAGTGATAGTATAGGGCAGCGCCACTGATCCTGTGAGTGGACACACCGCCATAGTGACAGTATTGGGCAGCGCCACTCATCCTGTGGGTGGACACACCGCCATAGTGACAGTATAGGACAGCGCCACTCATCCTGTGAGTGGACACACCGCCATAGTGACAGTATTGGGCAGCGCTACTCATCCTGTGAGTGGACACACCGCCATAGCAGTATGTACAACACTTCCCATTAGGAAGAAAACCCGCTGGGTTGTTCATGCTGTCAATTGTACCCAGACGCAGCTGGGACTTGCTTAACTGTCTCAAGAACAGCTTCTCAAACAAGAAGATTAACATTTGTCAACCCTTAAAATCTTACGTTATCTTGCGGGTGCAAAATGGGAACTCTCTTAATAACAGTATCTATATTTGACAAATTATATTTTCCTATTTCAAACAATGTGGGGTTTATTATTCTACACATATTTTAATGTCTCTCAGATGTTCACTTTCTCGTAGATAGTGGTCAAGACAGTGTCCATCACTCTCCCCTCAGATTTTGCAACTCCGCTGTTCAACTTTCGTTTCCATTTCGAATCTCTATGGATATTTGTATCCAAGGTGGATTCTCGCTATTACTGATTCTCTCCCGCAGCCACCATAATGACTGGGATTGCCAGCTGCAACCACATTGTTCCAGCATACAGTTTCACTGATTTGTGCTTCAATCCTCCTTTCCTCAATTACCTTGTCACGGTGATGTTGCCTGACAATATCACTAATTTGTGAAAGAGTCTTAGGTATGAAGTATTCAATATGGTCTCCTACAGCGCCTTCAGCAGCCAGCACATCTGCTCGCTCATTTCCACATATTCCAACAAGGTAGGGGAGCCACAGCAACTTGACGACTTTTCCCTGGTTGGTTAATACCCTCACAGCTCTCTTAATTTCAACGACTAACGCAAGATTTTATGCCCGATTTTTACTTAGCCTTTGTATTGCTGCTTCTGAATCCGTGTAGATCACTGCGCCATTAGTGTTTCGTTCAAGGAATCGTAACGCCACAACAATGGTAGTTAGCACTTCTTGCATTGAAGTGGCATAGTTCTCAATACGTGCTTTTCCTTCATTTCTGCGTTGATAGGTATTATCCTTAATTACAGTGTATGCTGCACCAGCCCTGCCATTGACAGGATTAGATGACCCGTCAGTGTAGATTGATATAGTTCATCTCTGCCTTCTTTATAAATTTCCTCGAGATACTTGTGCCTCATGTCTTGTTGTAACCTATTGGACTTTTCGTTGTCATCTTATTGATAATAATCTTGTAAGAGTCATCCTTCCAGGGAGGTAACCTCTCTACAGGCAGGAGCTCACGGGCTTGCTCAGGCAGGTGAAGTTCTTCCAGGTACCAGACTAATCTGCGGTGCCATTTTTTGCTTTTCCTGTTTCCTCCTGTAAGTAGCACAGAACTCAGTTTTTTCTTGGCAATATCATTGTAATGGGAATCTCTGGCTAATTAATTGCAAGCTTAACATTCAGTTCCTTAATTCGGCTTTTAACACTGGGGAGGGACAACTCTTCTCGTAGATTAGACGTTTTAGCAGTTCTTGAAACTCCAAGAATGATTGTCATGGCTTCATTTTGTATGTTTCGAGCCTTTTTCATATCTCTTTGGAAGTAGGAGTAGGTGCACAAACCTGGTCATAGTCTATAATGGAGCACACATGGACTTCGTGCATCATTTTAAGCACGGCAATAGAGGCTCCATGTCCATTCCAGGTCATAGCTTTCAATACCCCTGAGTCGACTTCTGCGTGTTCCTATGAGTTGGTTGAGCTCCTCTTTCTTCCCCTTGTTAGAGCCGATGGTGACACCAAGGTACCTGTAGTGGTCAACCCATTCAAGTGTTACACCACTAATTTGTAGTTCTTCATTTTCTCCTCTCTTGTGATAAGAGTATGCTTTTGTCTTGTTTGTGGAGAGAGTGAAACCGAGCTCAATACATTCCCTTCCAAGGAGTTCAATGGACTGTTTGTATTAAAACATCATCTGCATATCCCACTTGTTGCGTTCTTTCCAGAAAATCAATATTCACAATGGCGTTGATAAGTGCATTGAATAGTGTGGTGCTTAAAACCCTTCATTGGGAGGGTCCTGAGTTCCATACTCCTTGTTCTTGAGACTGCTCCGTTGAAGCAGACCTTGGCTTCATGAGTCTTGAAGCAGACCTTCAATCCATTTCATGAGTCTTTCTTTCGTCTTCTCATGAGTCATGGGTGTCTTCATGAGACACCCATGCATGCAAGCTTGTCCAAGATCGCAATCTCTTGCGCTTTGTGTAAGGCTCCTTTGATGTCAACAAATACAGAGTACTTAGCTATGTCATTAGCCAAGTAATTAACTATACAATTTGCTGTGCTCTGTCTTTTAACAAATCCACTGACCACCCTCCCCTAGCCTGCCTATTTTGTGCAACGGTCGGCTTGGAATGTTCCTTTCAAGTATCTTGCACGAGCATGACACGAGACTGATAGGTCTGTAATTGCCAGGGTCATTGCAGGTGGAGTAGTGGATTCCCAGACACCTCACACAGTGCATTGAGTACGTCGTAGGTGACGCCATCTTCAACAGTTGCAGTACTTTTACCCTTTTTCATAGCGCCCCTTACTTCCTGGGCTGTGATTGGTTGCCCATACTTGTCATCACTATACTGTACTCTTATCATAATTCATCTGTCGTTAGGTCGCAAGAGCTGTTCCCCTGCTTATTTCTGCAGGGAGGGAGGAGGAGGAGGAGGATGCTGCATCACTCCACTTTTGAATTAGATCTTCAGCCTTACCCTGGGGGTCTTTTATGAGCCGCAGGCCGGGTTCTGCTCCTCTTACCTACCTGAATTTTTGTCCACACTTGTCTTGCAGATGTTTTTCTTTCGATGGAGCTTCTGAAGTCAAGCCATTGTCTTTCCCCGCTCTTTAATCTTCTCTTCTCTGGCTACTTGACACACAGTTTTAAACAGCTCTTGGACGATTACATCTTTATGTAATCGTTCTCATACAATTTTATTTCCTTCTTCTGAAGGTTATTTCGCCCAGTCCTACGGCGCGGAGCTCTGAGACAGCTCTCAGTTTGGTTTTTAAGGTAATCAACAAATTTATCATTTAAATTTATCTGGGATTTGGTATTCCGTGAACTATTCACACATCTTGTTTATAAAGGCCACACATCTTGTAGCCACACAAGATGTGTGGATATGAGATATGAGGCCACACATCTTGTGGCCTCATATCTGGTCCGAGTGATAACCTTTTTCATGTATTTGTCTCTTTCTTTATCATGTTCATATCGACGGTGGTAATCATGCCCAGTGGTCACTACATAGACTGTGCACAATGTGTGTACTGGCATCCGTGTCCTGTGCATTCAGCAGGAGAGCATAGTCCAATCTTCCTCCTCTGAGGTGAGTTGGCTGTTTATCACCCAGGACCCTGAGGTTTTCACTTCCCCTGACATAGAGTGACAGTTTCCGTTCATTGACATTGGGCTGATGACAGTTGACACCAAAGTGTGGGTGCCTGGCATTAAGGTCACCGACCAGCAGGGTAGGTTCTTCATTAACAAAGTCAGGTAGTGTGTCAAGGTCAAGTTTACTCTGCGGCACATATTGGTTGATTATATGTACGGCATTATTGTTTAAGTGTAGGGATGCCCCCAGTGATTCATACTCATCCCCCCATGTACGCACCTAGTTCTCACCTAGTTGTGCTTGCGGGGGTTGAGCTCTGGCTCTTTGGTCCCGCCTCTCAACCGTCAATCAATTGATGTACAGATTCCTGAGCCTACTTGGCTCTATAATACCTACATTTGAAACTGTGTATGGAGTCAGTCTCCACTACATCACTTCCTAGTGCATTCCATTTACTAACTACTTGGACACTGAAAAAGTTCTTCCTAATGTCTTTGAAGCTCATTTGGGTACTCAGCTTCTACCTGTGTCCCCTTGTGCGTGTACCACCCGTGTTAAATAATCCATCCTTGTCTACCCTGTCAATTCCCCTGAGAATTTTGTATGTGGTGATCATGCCTCCCCGAGCTCTTCTGTCTTCCAACGACGTGAGGTGCAGTTCACGCAGCCTTTCCTCATAACTCATGCCTCTTAGTTCTGGGACTAGCCTAGTGGCATACCTCTGAACTTTTTCCAGCTTCGTCTTGTGCTTAACAAGGTACGGGGTCCATGCTGGGGCCGCATACTCCAGGATTGGCCTTACATATGCTGTGTACAAGGTTCTGAATGATTCCTCACACAGGTTCCTGACGGCTCCTGAAGGAAGCTCCAGAAGGAAGGCATGTGGAGGTCATCAATAACCTGTGCAGGAATGGTGTTACTTACAAAAGTAATGAGGCCCCGTTTTCTTTCCACAGAGGACAGGGAGAAC